CTTCAAAGGCTGCTGAAAAGATCCCATAAGGAAGACACGTAGGAAAAACAGGAGTCACAGAAACACATGAGAATCCAGCGGGGGGAGCCACTGACTTCAGCTGCTGAGGAGGAATCAAGAAAGAAATTGGGAATCTTTACATATGGCAAGATACAGGTCACTGGAGTCGGGGACCTGCTAGTTTCTCTGAGGCCCTGCTTACAAGGAGTCGGGGCCCACGTAAGATGTAAAGTAGAAGATACGTGAGTCCTGTCATATACTCTCATTTACTCTTTGCTCTTAACAGGCACAGACCATGTCACTATTCTCCCGGACACGCAATGCACATATCAAGCCTCCGACAAAAACGTGATTAGACCAACCAGTTTTTACCTCGATAGATAATGTGGCAGGGTCCCTGGCAGATACAACAGTAAACCTCAGGAGATTTCTGACCTGTACCTGTTTTGCTGACCATGTAATGACCTTTCTAGGATTTTAACTACATGGAAAATATTTTGGGTATAATAAGGTATAACTAGCTAAATGTGTGTGAGTCTAGTGTCCGCAAAGTAGGTAACAAATTCTTACATTATTTCCTCTGTTTTCTGCCTAAAATTTTGTTTTCGCTTAAAGGTGTTATCAGTTTTTATACAACATCCGCCAGTCTCGGAATCAACGTTGACAGGACACGGGGCTTCACGAGCTCACTGAGGTTATTTTCCGAAAGCAATTATTTTCTTCTATTATTAGAGAAAGGGGTAACTTTTACAGTGATTACATTTTAAAGATGAAAAGTGAGAATTAAGGTCAACCTTATGTTTGAAGTCACATTAAATTTAATTTACGGTTAAATTCTCAATGAATAGTAAGCAACATCTGAAGTACACGGGTGCTTTTTTTTTTTTTAAGTGGGTGTTGATGTTCTTAAAATCTTGAGTGTGAAACCAGCCAAGAAATGTTTCCTAGAGTAGTAACAGCGGTACGCTCTCCTAGATTCCTTTTTTCAATTAGTGTTTCTATTTTGTAGACAGTAACAGTATTTAATTTGAAATTTCCTCTTTCTGTGCCAATTCCAGTTTGAAGTCCTTCCTGTGAAGTCTTTGAGTGCACAGCTTTATGTGATACACAAAGCCCTCTGAAAGCAGCCAAAGAAAGAAGGGGGAGAAGATGTTTTTCTTTAGTATCAAGCACCTGGCAAGGAAGCGGCGTGTTCCTGTAAAGCCTTGAAGGCATTCCTGCTCTCCCCGGAGAATCCAAACGGACTCGTTTGGATTTCCCTTTGAAAAACCATGAAGTGAGAGCACGTTTGCTTTGATTTAGTTTACCAGACTTTCCCATGTTGTTTCTTGTTGCTTGATTCTGCTCACCGACAAGTCAGGGTGATGGCCCCGTGACCCACTCGCGGTTGGCAAGGGAGAGGGACGTCCTCACCATGACTTCTGGCTCCGGGTGGAACTAGAGTAACAACCCCTAGTGCTGTGGACCTCGCAGAAACCAGGTACCTAACTCGGCAGCTTTACGGCACAGACACAAAGGGGAAATTATGAGAAAAGAGCGTTTCACCACTACTCCTTGTCCGCTTCTTGCCATGTGCACGTCCCTGAGCTAACGTGCCCAAATGGAAGCCAGGGAAGAAAGCACAGTAACAGCTGCTTCAAAAAGACAGGACAGAGGGGGCTCCTGGGTGGCCCAGTCCGTTGGGCGTCAGACTCTGGCTCAGGTCATGATCTCGCGGTTTGTGAGCTCAAGCCCCACGTCGGGTTAGCTGCTGTCAGCAAAAACCCGCTTCCCATCCTCTGTTCCCCCTCTCTCTACCCTCCCCGCCCCCCACTGCTTGTTCTCTCTCAAAAACCAATAAAAAAAAATAAAAAAAAAAAGACAGGATAGAGGCACCTGGGTCGCTCAGTGAGTTAAGCCTCTGACTCTTGCTTTCAGCTCCGGTCACGATCTCACAGTTGTAAGATCAAGCCTGCACCCGGTGCTCCACTGGCTGTGGAGCCCGCTTGGGAGTCTCTCTTGCCCTTGTCCTCCGCCCCTCCCCCGCTTGCTCACACCCATGCACCTACAGGTGTGCTCTCTCTCAAAAAAAAGATTAAATAAGTAAAACAGGACACCAAAACACAGGATGAAACAATAAACAGATAAGGTGGACTTTGTCAAAATTGAAATCTTTTGTGCTGCCAACAACATCTTCAAGAAAATGAAAAGACAACCAACAGAACAGGAGAAAATATTTGTAAATCCTATTTCTGATAAGACAGTCTTATACGGTGTACATAAAGAACTCTTGCAACTCAAGAAGACAAATAATCCAACTTAAAAATGGACTCGAACAGACATTGGCATGGCCGATACGCACATGCCAGGATGCTCAACATTATTCTTTTTTAATATTTCAATTAATTTAGTATTTCAATTTTTCTATTTTATCTACATTTTATAATTAATTACTATTAGCCATCAGGGAAAGCAAATCAAAACTATGAGATACGACTTTACCCCCACTGGGCTTAACAGTGAAAAAGACACATAACAAGTAGATGGATATGGCCAAGCTGGCACAGTCACAGATTGCTGGTGAGAATGTCAAAGGGTGTAGCCACTTTGGAAACCGGCCTGATGGTTCCAGAGATCAGACATAGACATATGAGCTGACACAGCATTTCTGCTCCTTGAGAAACGAAAACAGATGTCCATACGAAACGTATACATGAATCCCCATTGCAGCATTACTCATAGTGGTCAAAAAGTATAAACAATCCAAGTGCTAATCAAGATCGATGACTAACAGTGGTATATCTATGCAACGGAATGTTATTCAGCTATGAAAAGGAACGACGTACTGATATATTCTGCAACACGGAGGAACCTTGAAAACATTACGTTAAGCGCAAGAAATCAGAAGAAGACCCCATCTCGTATCCTTGTATTCATACGAAATGTCCCAGATAGGCAAATCTGTATAGACAAGAAAGCAGATTCGTGGTAGTTTAGCACTGAGCGAGGCTGGGGGGGAGGGTGGAGGAGGATGGGGACTGACTAACAGGAGAAAAGAGGGTTTCTTTCGGGGGTGGCTAAAAATAGTCTGAAATTGGTTGTGGTCATGGTTACAACACGTCGTGAGCAGCCTCAAAGACACTGAACTATATACTTGAAAGGTGAATTGTATCTCAAGAAAATTGTTTAAAAGAGAGAGAGAGAGAGAAAGGGAGACCGTTATACAACTCGGAAGCCTGGCCTTTCACGTCCAGATGCTTAGTCATTCCTCACTATTCTGGGTCCCTCTTACCGTGCCAAGCTTCCGGACGTAGAGGTAACACGCAGCTCCTATTCACTGTTGTAAACACATTTGAATCTGTTCCTCACCCTGGGGTCCTTGAACATCCTACAACCACAGCACAACAGCTACATTCCTCTCCACCACGGAGGCTCCACCGGCTGCCACCCCGGCTCTCCTTGGCCTTTGACGACATGTTCCAAATTACGAACAGGGTTCAAGAGAGAAGGATAAAATGATCGAGAACTATCAGCGTCCGAAGACGGTTCAGAGCTCTGAGTATGTGTACTCACGGGAAAATGGCAACAGATTTTTCGGTCTCCAAGAAGAATCCCAAGAATCCCTAGAGTGGGGAGCAAGGTTGGAGAGGCAAGGGAGAGACTTTCCTGTAGCTGTCCCCCAGAGTTGCCGGCCATCCCAAACAGGCAGTGTTACGAGAGGCCTGGGTAGAGAGGTGTGGCAGATGATGTCACTAGGGCCTTTTAGTCAGGCAGAAACAGCACTGTCACCGCGACAGCCATTATTCTGAACGGACGATGCCTGAACCCACAAGAGGCGTTCTTGAAGCATCAGTGCAGTGAGGAATTTAAAAGCATCCTGATAACTGATTTCTGAGAAAATACCCAAGGAAACAATGTACAAAAAATGTGTAACCCTAAAATATAAGAGCAAGCACAGATCAGGTTATCAATCCAAGGATTTGGACGGTGCACTGAACCATGTACTGTCCTTGGCACTGCCCAAGGACAGTAGTTTCGGAGATGGAAAGCTCTCCTCTCAGCTCTCAAGTCGTCTGCTGCACAACCAAGGTGGTGCCGCTCATCTTTCTAGTATTTTCTTTATAATCCTGACCCTCAAATCTCTATCAGAATTGGACCTCGCGTGGCCAGTAGCCCGCGGAAGGTCGCAACGCCCACCCTCAGAAACCTTCCCAGATTTCCTGAAAAAACAACCAAGTCCCTCACCTGAATGCTAATACAGCACTGTGTGTCAACTAACTGGAATTCACATGAAAGCTTAAAAGACAACAGCAAAGTCATCTGGCTGGGTCCAAACACAAAAGCTGGTATAGCGTGGCCCCCACCAAACCTCCTTACTGAATAGAAATACCTACTGTATGTCAGAAAAGAGGCATCCAAATTCCTCGAGTCTTGGAGATTGAGCCCAGACATCCAGAACCAAAGAACCAAGTAGCTAGGGCCTTGCCACACCTGCTCAGGGCAGACTTATTCCAGTTACTCTCCCAGGGCGAGTAAGACTGGAGGCCCCAGCTCTTCTATTGTGTTTTCAGGAGACAACAAACAGAACTGTAAAAACCACTAATTGCCTTACCTAAAATCTGTGAATGGATGGTTAAATTAGTATTTTTATTTTGCTTGGTTTTTTTTAATCTGTGTAAAGTTTTTATTTATTTTGAGAGAGAGACAGAACGAGTACAAGCAGGGGAGGGGCAGAGACAGAGAGAGAGAGAGAGAATGAATCCCAAGTAGGCTCCACACCATCAACACAGAGCCCAACTCGGGCCCTAACTCACAAACTGTGAGGTCATGACCTGAGTAGAAATCCAGAGTTGGATGCTTAACGGACTGAGCCACCCAGGCACCTCTATTTCGCTTGTGTTTCTTTTTAAATGAAACTTTACCCCTAGAATTTCCATGCATTGTTTTGTTTTGTTTTTTAATAAAAGCACAGGTTACAGCCACATGGGAACGTGAACCCCGCACAGTCTGCAACTGCTTACCTGCAGCATATGACCGCCTTGCACGAAAGCGCCAAATCCAGGAAGCTTCTCCTGACTTCAAAGGACAGTGCGTACTTCAGGGTGTGGCCATCGATGATGAGGGCCACATCGTTCTCCTTGCCCAACAGATTCCCAAGGTCGGTGCAATGCTGCGTAATGGCTGCCCTTGTTGCCTGAAACGAGAGTTGGGGGGGGGGGCATGTGTTTAGTATTTCAAATTTTAG